ATATAAAATAAAACCCAAATAGTTGTTTAATATTAACCCAACCAGAATTAGGTATGTATATAGAAATCATGATTCATAATTTCAATCATTTAAGAAACATCATAAAGATAACTATTATACTATAAGATACGCTATACTTTTGACATATAATATAATTTATATGAATTATCATCCACATTGCTCGCGCTTTTCGTGATTTCATTATTCGTGTCATATTAATACTCATGTGAGTACCGCGTATTGAATAACGCAACGTTTCAACGTTTGACTGTTTTCATTTCGGCTGAATTTGAAGGTGATCTGTACGGTGGAAGGTAAGATTGAGTTTTACAGTTCGCTGGGTTCGAATTGTATGATCTACGATCGTGGGGAGGTTCGGGTGCTGCCATATTATGGTGGCGTTTCAAACGTGTTTTCAGTAACCATAACCGATGTTAACGAACGTTTCAGATTACAAGCAAGCGACCTGAAGCCGATTACCAGGAAAGCGGTTGGAATCGGACGCCGCCGACGATGACTTTAAACAGCAGGGACAGCAGCATGCGCCGCAACGCAACAGCAACAACGCAACGCTAGCACAGCAACAACAACAGCAGCAGCCACGGCAGCGCTAACCGTCGTCAACCGCCGGTGACGAAGAACGTGTCAATCAGATATCCCGGTTTACGACAGCCAGGGCCCCGCCAAGATCCGCCGCGGTTCCATCGCAACAGAACGGGATCGACACGCATTCGTCTGTTTCCAAGTCTGGCCTACAACCCGGTCGCTGTCGGCCGCGGCCCGTGTCCGGCACACCACCACCACCACCACAGAAGGTTGCGCCGAAATGAGAACCGCAACGGCCGGCGCGACCGAAGACCGCATGATTGGACGATGACGACGAGGAAGTGGTGGCCGACATTGACGTACGCGCGGAACCGGAAGTACCCGCCGCCGTGAAGTCGCGGTCGCCGCCGCCGCCGCCGCCGCCGCGTCAAAGCCGACCCAAGTGGTCGCCGGCCAGGCGGCCGCCCCGGACGGCCGTGCGGTGGTCGACGTCGGTCGGATCACGGACGGCGCCCGTCGGCAGGCTGCTCCGGCGGCCAGGGCAAGCCGAGCGGCAGGGCGCCGCGACCATCGCGCCGCCACCGCCAGCAGCCGCCCGCGGCACCGCGAAAGCGGCCGGCAGCAGATCGCGTGGCCGACGATTACGAGGACGAGGTGCCGGCTGCGGCCACGCGGCAGTCGATCGCCGCGGCGACTAAGCAACGAGCGTCCGGGCCGTTCTTGGTGCGGCCGTCGAAACCGACGAAAACCAACCGAGCGCGGCGCCGGCCGGCGTCGACGACGACGAGGAGCCGACGAACCGATATCTACCGCAGGCAGGCGAGCCGCAGCGGTGAGCGTCAGGCAAGTGATGCCGCTCATCCACCTGCTGAGGCACAGGCCGCAGCAGCAGGCGCCGCCGCGCCATGTACAGCGGCAATGGCGCGACGAGGCGACGTCCGCCGGAAACAGATGAGGCCCGCGCGGCCCGTCTAGCAGTACGCGGACGAGTACACGACGAATA